ATCGCGTCCCGTGCCAGGATACGCACACACTGTGCCAAGTCTAGAAATAGGGTGCGTTCATCTCAGCCAGGACGGGTGCCAAACTGACACCAATCTAATATGCAAATGAGTTGCTGGCTGACGATGTGGTTGCTTCTGTGGGGAGGATCACCTGCACCTCCTCTCGCAGGACGTGGTTTTCAAAGGGGTTTATCTCCTTAAACCCTCTAATTAAAATGAGAAATCCCTAAGCCACCAGCACTCGTGCGTAAAAAGAAAAGAAAGAAAGATTATTAGGAAAATTCTGTGTCCCACACCATCTGCGACCCGGGACTTGTGGAGATTTTTTGGGAACGAGACTGAGAGAGGGAGCAGGAGAGGGACTAACGTATGACAACACCCTTTCTCCACCCGTTAGAGGGGCGTCGAACAGATAAATCAACATCGCACCAGCCGCACCAGCTCTACATTGTTCATTCCTAATTACCATTATTATTAACAAGCAATTCATTCCAGAAACTGTCTCTGAGGCTCTCAGGTGTGAGTTACTGAAAGCTACTGAGTGAACCTTCATCAAACAACCTCCCTCTGAAGCACGCCGGCAGAGATCTTGACATCTGTATCGCATGTTTAGCATGAGCTCGGAAACGTGGGCTGCGTCCGAATTCCTGCACTTTTAATAGCGTGCATTAAATTTGAGAGCTTCTCAATGGTTAATGAAGTATATTTTAGGTGTGTATTATAAATACACTTCTGGAACATCTATAAAGCTATCTGTTACGCATTCCCATTAATTTAAATAGCATGCAGCCCTGGAAGTACACAATTTGAAATCTGCCATCTTTGCACTCAATTTCGCTGCCAGATTGTTGTTTTTAAAGAGTCACCTATCTGTGAATGCCATGTGACTCTGAAGCCATTGTGACAAAGCTGATTGGCTGATGGCACCAAAATAGTTATGCATAAAGAACATATTTTGAAGAATTTTGGTAACCAAAAGGTTTTGGGTTCCATTGACTTCCACTGTATGAACAAAAAATGCTATTGAAGTCAATGGAACCCAAAACTGTTTGGTTACCAAAATTCTTCAAAACATATTCTTTTGTGTTCAACAGAAGAAATACCAATTTGGAATGACACAAGGGTGAGTAAATAAAAGACTGTTTGGACAGTCTATCCTGAGCTGTGATTTGAGAGGAAAAGTCCAATGCATGCTTTAAGATCCCTACAAAAACTGGTAAAACAAATACCAAAATATTATATAAAATGCTTTTTGCTATCATATGATGTAGTTGGAACATTGTCCAGCCGGGGCTGAAGGAACAATGCTAACTAGTGACATAGGCTGCATCCAAGTATGCACACTTGCCTTCTATATAGTAGGTGAAAAACAGTATATGAAAAGAGTAATATGTTGAAATTCACAGTACCGTCTTAAAAATAAAAGAGGGTTTTCAAAGCAAAGCCAGAAAATAACCATTATTTGGTTCCCCAAAAAAACGTTATTTGAAGAGTTCATAAAATAACCATTTTTTTTAATGTGAATAGCTTTTTAATAATCTAAAGAAACCTTTACACTATAAAGAACCTTCTGTGCAATGTAAAGGTTCCATGGATGTTAAAGGACCATCAATGTCAATAAAGAACCATTATTTTTAAGAGTGTATTCATACAACAGCAGGCAAAAAGTAAACTACTTGTTCAAAAGAAGTACCTACTCAGAGAGTATATAATGAGGTCATAATGGCAGGTTGGCATTGACCTCTGACACATAACCAATAACCATGAAAACAATTTATTCGGGTTTTGTTTAACAAGTCCAATTTAACCACAAGAAACCACTTTCTTGGTCCCTAGCACTTACACTTAAAAAAAGAGCCATTTATAAAAACAAATCCCATGGCCAGTGCATAAATTTCCCATGGCCTTATGGAATAACAAACTTGAGAATTGCAGCATCAAGGATTGTTTAGCATAACACTTAGATGTTCATTCTGTTCACATACTATACATCAGGATACATAATTGGATGGGTCATTCGACCCAAATGACCATGTACAGTTTTACCACTCTGGACAGATTGTATTTGGTGATCATGTTTAGTGTGACTCATCCTTCAATGATAGGATTTGGAACAGAAGGGTTGACATCAGAACACAGAATGGAGCATTACACCTGGACAACAGCTATGAGTGATCGTGAATGTGAGTATGTAGTAGTAATTCACCTCCAACCGTCCACACACACACACACACACACACACACACACACACACACGTATGTACACTCACATACACCCACCCACATACATCTACCATATGCTCTTCCACACAATCAACACAAGTAATTTAATTTAACCATTCAAATGAGATGTATGAAATTCATACTCACCTGAGCATTAAAAACAAATGACAGCCAAAGTTTTAAACAAGGGTATGGCATTTCTAGGTTAGACGCCATATTGAATTTTACGCGGATGAAAACGAGGCTGTGAGGATAGACTTTACAGTCTTTACAATGGCACGCACTATAAAGTCCTAGATCATGTAATTTTCACAACTCACAATTTTCCAAAAGTTTTTTTGTTCAGCTGAACAGTTGGTATGTTGTTGAACACCAGTACAAATGAACGCACTGTAGGCTTCATTTCACAGCCTCGTTTTCATTCCTGTCAAAAATTAAAATGGCTGTACCTTGACTAAGGTCATATGAGCGAGTTGATAAAGTTGAGTAATGATATTTGAAAAATACATTTTATATTATGGTCCTTGTTACTAATGCACATTTGCATAGCATTTTCGTTTAGTTCAAAACTAAACTAAACGTCTTTTCAAGCCTAATCATATCATCGTATTTTAATATATTTCATGTTGGGACAATAGATCAAACTGTCACATTTGTTGTAAATTTATATAATTATTCACAAATTGGTTTGTGTTCCATAATTGTTTTAATAATAACATTTTGCAGTTTAAAGCGTACTTAAAAGTGTATTTTATATTTAAAATTTTATATCATTAGAGTTCTATCTATTTGTTTAGGAATAAAATAGGCTATAAACGAAATTAAATAGGCTAACTGGATACAGGGCCTGGCTAAAATAAGGCATGCATCTTCTCTGTCAGTAAACAGATTATTTACGTTTTTATCTAAAAGTAAATAACGCTCTAAAACGTCGACAGAAAGCGTGTGGTGAGAACTTTCCACCGTTCTCAGACAGAAGCACATAGAGAAGTGTTGCTGCTCATTTTTCAGCTGTTCGTTCCTGACAGCTTTGTCTCTGGGGTAGCATATGTTCTGCCTCTCTCTGAGTTGTGTGAAATATCGCCACTGTGGGGTTTTTCTGACACATCAACATCCCCACAGCAAATCAAGAGTCTCATCGCACACGATCGGTGATTGTGCAGGTTGAATTGTTGCACCTGTCAACAGCATTAGGTGTTTTAGGACAACGTGATGATTAATTGGATATTAACATATATTACTGGTCTATTTTTTCTTTGAAAGCGTGAAAAGGAATCAATTAGGACTACTACCAGAAAAAAGAAGTTTTGTGAGATCTTACGAATATGTTTTGTCAAAACTGCCAGTGACTGTGAAGCTAACTTTAATTTTGGACTATTTTGCTGAGCATTTTATCCTAAACAATTCACACTGCATTCAAGGTTATACCTATTATCAATTCATGTAGGCTAATCTAGGCCTATTAGTCGGGAATCGAACTCATAACCACGGTTTGAACTATTTTTTTTTTATATATATCTATCGTAAACTATTAGTTTTATGGCTTTTAAGCCCATTTCATTGTAACGTATTATGAATGCTATCACTCTGGTTTCTCGGGGATGACAATGCACATTCGCGGGGGAATAGCTGTTTTTGGGCTCCTGATCCGCAGTCTGTCGCTGTTTGGCCCGCGTCCAGCTCGCTGCTGAACTCGGAAACAGGAGAGCCTCCAAGCCAGACAACCTTTACTCCCCTAAACCCAGTCCTGAATAACATCTCAAGAACGTCTCATTTTACAATTAACCTTGACCAACGCGTCGCATAGGCCTGCAAACTAATGCACGAGATGGATTTGGTGGATTTTGGCGACTTCATGAATTAAATTCCTTTGTCCTCTGTTGATAAACAGATGCTCTCTTTGCTTTTCTGTAGGCATTTATGACCTATAGCCTAGTGATTGTAGCAGATAGGCCTATATATTTTTAGACTTTAAATTTATAGATCTAAATAATATAGGTTATTATCTTCGTACACTTTAAAGCATTGTTCATTAAAGGTTTTGCAATTATCCTATAGAAAACGAAATGCGCCATTGCATTAAATGTTGTTTTCGTTCGTTCTAGCGGCACTTAACGAGGTTTAGATAGCCTATATTAAAAAAAAACTAGATATATCTATTATATATTATTTATGATTTGAATTTGATTTTAGAGAATGTCATGTTTTCAGAACAGTGTTTCCAACATAGAATTGTATTCAGTTAAACTTTATTTTACTGTACAAAACAGCTCGACAGTGTACAAAGTCCAGTTTCAGTGCATTCAGTCATTTTTGCACACACAAATATATTAAGGCAGGTTTTCCCGTGACATGAGTTCACTAGACAGCACACAGACCTTTCCATTAGAGATTTTACATGCTTCAAATGCATTTTCTTACAGTGATTGTTCCGAGATTGTACGCAATGTCACCAATATATCGACGACTTTACATTTGAGAAAATACAGAAATGTCAAACAATCTGTTGCATAATTACATCATCGTGTTGTGCCATCATACTTTTGAAATCATGCGCATAGACAAATGTGAGATATTTGAAATATTTGGAAATTAAGAGGGTGCTTAAAACTCGATTGTCCACATTTATAAAGTTAAATTACACACATTGAAATCAATGAAACAAATGAATAATATACCGTTATTTCGTTTTTCAGAATTACATCCATAGCCTATATAAATTTTAAATACATCATCTTCTATAGGAAAACAAATTTATTCAATAATTGCCTCTTCGTGGTGGTCTTTAACATATCATTACTATTATTGTAAATAATAATAATAATAATAATAGGCAATTGTTGAATCAATTTTTACCAACATTTAAATAGTGCCCTGTGTAATACATCACGAAACTTTTGTAAATAAAGATGAAATTTTGATTCAAAGGAAATAAATACAATACAAATACAATACAAGCTCTTACGTTTTTTATGTTACTTCTCATAAACGAATAAACGCATTTATGTATTACAAAATGATGAGCAATTACATTTTTTAACACCAATATTTTGACGTTTGTGCGAACATTGTTTAGACAAATTAAGTGGATAAATAAATGGCCAGATCGAGAATTATAGACTTGTGTAATGCATAGCACCCTTAGCAATTATTGCTCTTCTATTTTACTGAATTTTCTTCGCAAATATTTGAATGACCTTATAATTAAAAGATGCCTTTTGGAGCAAGAGTCCTTACTGGCAGATTTAGATCTATAAATACTCACACAGGTCATTAAATTAAACTGAAAATAAACGAGAAACTCTGCGTAAAACACATTGATATTGTTTGTGGATTATTTTTCCATCAGACCACATATTTTGTCAGACAGTTTAAAAATCAATACTTAGAAACACTGTAAGCACGTTTTCCATTTAATTAAAAAGGATAAATAATAAAACATCCGATGGCTTAAAACCCAAATCAGAGATGGATTTTATAAATAATACATGTGCGATCGAAAGTCCTGCATTTTCAGTCCTTTTCACTCACGTTTGACTTTCTCTCATTAATTATGAAAAGTGTTTACTTCGTCTTGCACGGGGTAAAACTGGCCGCGGAGGTGAATGTCATATGGGAAATGGAGATCCGAGGAGCCTCTCGCGCTCTGGCTGATGGAGGAGCGCGGCGGCACGGCGCAATAGCGCGTTCCGTAGTGGCAGCTCTTGCCGTATTCGACCGGCTCTTCATGCTTGAGGGAAAAGATCCCGTTAAAGTTAATAGGCGGGCTTAAGAGACCGTCGAACTGAGGGCTTCCGCATTCCGGCGAGACGCTTTCGTAGAAAGACTCATAGGAGTTGCAGTAGTTGAACGGCCTGAAGGGTTTGACGGCATCTACCGAGGGTCCAGAGGGCGGCACCACACCCGGACTGTGGTAGGTCGTGTACACGGATTCGTACGGCGACCTGCCGGAGAAAGACGCCTCGCCGTTGGTCTGATCCGTGATGAAGTTCCTGGCGTTCAGCTGCAGGCATCCGGCCACTAAGTTGGTGGTGGGCTGCGAGAGCCCTTTGCACAGGGTCTGAACAAAGGTCAAGAGGTCAGGCCTCTTCCCAGTGCTCAGGACCTCGGAAAGCGCCCAGATGTAGTTCTTGGCCAGCCGCAGGGTTTCGATTTTCGACAGTTTCTGGGTTTTGGAGTAGCAGGGCACCACCTTGCGCAGACTGTCCAGGGCGTTGTTCAGACCGTGCATTCGGTTCCTCTCCCTGGTGTTGGCCTCCATGCGCCTCATCACGACCCGGTCCACCCTGGCTTTGGTCATTTTCTTTTTCCGAGGCCCTCTCCTCCGAGGCAGACCGTTCTCGTCCTGTCCGTCCTCCCGTTCGTCCTCATCCTTCTCCGAATCCTCATCCTCCATCGTGTGGGAGAGCGTCTCCACCTTTTTAAATGGCTCTTGTTTGGTGACCTTCATTTCACCCACGCAGTCCCGTGGAAAGTTTGCCCCGAATTGACTGTCCATTATAACAGGATCATCAAACGGAAGAGTCAGCATTGTGTTCTTACTGGGGATGATGAGAGGACAATAGATCTTCTGAATCAATCAGCAGCGATTTAAAAACAACCTATACATGGTGCTCAATAAATACACTCTCACAGGTACAAAAGCTGTCACTGGGGCAGTACCCTTTCACTAAAATTTACCTTAAAGGTACTAATATGCACCCGTTAGGGGTAATCATGGTACAAAGGTGTACCTTTTGAAAAGATACCAGCATGGTAACAGCTTTTGTACCTTTTTTCTGAGCGTATGCAGTGGTGTATTAACATAACAATTACAGACAGAATTCCAGAAGATATTGATTATCTAATCAAATCACAAAAATTTAGCTGCAAACGACAATGCAACAGAAATAAATCTGTAAACTTGTTTTCACGTGTGAAATTGTATCACATTCATGCATTTACAAAACACAAGGCTGTAAAATCTGGTGAAAAGGCAGAAACAGTCATGCAGCACAGATGTCGATCCTTACCCTCGAACGATCCAGCTTACCTGGATTATGATGGTGTCAGATGACAGTTTTCATATTTCCTATTTTGAACTTTTTTTTCCTTGTGGTGTTTTAGCAGGTGAACAGCTCGTGCGTTTTTCTCACCTCCCCACTGTTCTCCTTGTCTCGCGCTAAGAGAAATGACACTGATGCCAACTGCCAGAGCTGGTACCCATGCCATCTGCCGCTGACGTCACGTGGCATGGGTTGGTCACGTGACCGGGTCCCGGGGGACCACTATTCCTCCCCTGATCATCTGGCATGTGCCTCGAGCTGTGTACCACTGCAAAACCACAAAGCAGCCTCAATAAAGGACCGAGTACCAGCATCCATCATTAGAATCTGATGCTGTGGATGAACAGGAATGCTGTGAGACGGTCAGGGAATTACATTTCTTAGTCTTTGTTGATAGAAATTAACAAATTGGGATTCGATTTTCATGCATAAGCGGACTAAATCTAAATATACACAAAATAGCTTCTTGTAAAAAAAACATGTAAAACAAAAAAAGGTCAGTGCTGATGAATGACAGCAGGAACTGGATGATTGATGGCTCTTGTTTGCCTGGTCAGTCTCTTCAAGGGCATTTGCCAAATGACTGATCCTACTGTCTGTCACCGTGAAAGCATTTTCAATGTGACAATCACCTGATAATGAAAACATACATTTAGATAAAGTTTAGATGAATTCTCTCTCTGACATTTAATTAATGCGCCCAGTCAACATGGATTCTGAGATTTGAAAGTTTTTTTTCTTCTACATTTGAAAATAAGTCTGGGTTTTTGTTTACTCTCTCTCACACATGCACACACTTACACCATCCCTCCCCACCTTCCTCACACACAGCCATCCACATTCACACCACAAAGTAGTATGCGAGTGAATCTAACGAAAACATGTCCAGGTCACATTTCACTCCAAGAAGTTATACTGTGCATGAAGAAAATGCCGCCTTTTTTAAGAGCTTTATTTTATTGCTATTTTTTGGATTGTGACGTCTTTCCCTCAAATTCTCATATGCTGTGCATCTCAATGGTGGATTTTCATTATATCCTTTGTTAATTCTCATTACTGCACTGTCACTTTTACTATATTACATGTAATTTACAATATATTTTTATATATATTTATAATTGTAATATGAATATATCAAATGTTTGGGGGTCGTTAAACCAAATACTAAAAAAGGCTTTATTTATTTGATCAAGAATGTGAAATATTACTACAATTTAAAATTGTTGTCTATTTTAATATATTTTGAATTGTAATTTTATGTGATGCAAAGCTGAATTTTCAGCATCATTACTCCAGTCTTCAGTGTCACATGATCCTTCAGAAATCATTCTAATATGCTGATATGATGCTCAAGAAACATTTCTTGTTATTATCAATGTTGAAAACCATTGTGCTGCTTAATATTGACACAGAGACACATTTTATTCAGGATTAAAGGATTTCAGTAAAGTTCAAAAGAAAAGCATTTATTTGAAATAATAAAACTTTTGTTATCTTATAAATGTCTTTGTCACTTTTAAACAGTTCAGTGCATCTTTGCTGACTAAGAGTGTTGAAGGTTTTTAAAAAAAAAGCTCTTTATACTGACCCAAACGATTATCAGAAAAACTTAGAACTCTCTCTCTCTCTCTCTCTCTATATATAAGTACTCATAAGTACTTAAGTAACACACACACACACACACAAACACACACACACTATATATATATATATATATATATATATATATATATATATATATATATATATCTTTATGTCTAACAA